ATGGATATGAGTTTTGTTGGTTTTAAAATCTTTTACCAATGTCTCTCACATAGAAAAATGGCAGAGATCAAACATCATACTTAGTACCACAAGTGAACATCATAGTGTTGTGCAGAACTAGATTAAGCAGGAAAACTGAGGAATTCATGACGAGATGAGTAATACCACAAAAAAAAAAATAAAAAAAGAGCTGTGGTTAGAGAGCAGAAAGAAATGTGAAATGTGACCATATCTATAACCACAGTAGCTGCCCTGAGCCATTTCTCACCTGAAGGTTCATCATGCTTCTGCGAGGAGCAAATCCAGGGCCTAAATTGTGCAAACACCACAGTTCAGATTCAAAGTAAGAAGGAATTGTCAGATCTCAGGTGGTGTCTGGTTTTTGTTTTTCTTTTTAAGTAATAGTCATCTTTTTCTAATGGCTTAATGTCAAAAGCATGCTTGAAGGAGGAATTTCAATGAAGAAAGCTGGCAGTCCTGCCCAGGTTCCATTGATTCAGCGGAATTGGCTCCAGTCCTTGTGGGACAAGTGTTCCCTTAATTTTAGACAAGCCTACTCCCACAATTAGACAGATGGCTTTTTTTTTCTTTTTTTTTTTTCCCCTACATGCTGAGTGAGACACATTACTTGTAATCATTTTATACTAGTTTATTGATCGTGGCTTTTCAGTATTCACTGTAGATAGGCTTGTTTTAAAAGAACTGTCAAGAGACGCGTCTGGTTAACAAACAATTACCGATTAAAGGTGTAGCAACAAGCACAGGGATTTTGTCAGAACATACAGAAATGTGCAGGGAATTTTGATAAAAGGTAAAAGGGATTTTCTCCTGAATCTGATATTTTTCAAGAGATGTTGCCAGAGTCTATTTAATGACATTTTAGGGGTGGTTCAATATTTTTTTTTCATCTCTGCTTCTTATATTTTAATATTTGAAAAGACCAGACAAATGGAAATTATTCACAGGAATTGCATATATGGAAAATCTATAAGAGCCCACACGACGGATAACACTGGCCCATTGCTTATAATATAAGGTTACTACTAAAATGTATTCTGCTTATTAGGAAAGCTGGAAGTGAGTCAATTATTCGAATAAACAAACAAAGACCTGGTTGCCCCGTAGTTTAGTGCATCTCTGAGATGTCTGTAGGCTCCTTTCCCACGCCTGCTGTCTCATTCCTAAACTAGCAGAGGCTGTTGTGCAAGGCAGCCTGGCAACTCCTAATGAACAGGTAGCTCAATGCACTCCTCAGAAGCAATCCCTGCACACTGTCCACCTCTCAACATTTGGGGCAGGCACAGGGCATCAACTGCACCTTTTGTGTATCAGAGGAGGGAGAAGTTTGGCAGCTTAAGGAAAGAAAAGGATCAGCTTATCAGGCCAAAGGAATGTTCCTGTGGTCCCTCCAAAGGGGCCATGTGTTCTGATTGCACGGAACACAGCAGTTTGGTGTGTCAGACACTAGAAGAAGGTGAGAAGGGAGGTGTCAGCCTTTAGCTTTCCCTAAAAGACTGGAGGACAACTTCAGCAAAAAGAAGTAACTCAGCCTCACAACTGACAGTGTAGTTCCCAGCCTTACTAGGAAACAGTATCCCCATATGCAAATTCTTAGGTAATTGACTGGAGTAAACAGAAACAATAAAAAAAAAGATACAAAAGCTAAACATCTGTTGGGAAAAAGTATGCATATTTTAATTCCTTAAGAATGAAAGTCTATATTTTTAAAAACAACTAATGTTTCCCTTTTCCATTAAGGCCCATGGCATCCAAACCCATATAAAGCTGTTGACCAACAGGTTTATATTTACCCTGGGAGTTAAGGTAAGATTCATGACACTGCTGTTTATTAATTTGCTTGTTTTAATGTCTTTGGCTTTTGCAAGTTATGACACAGTAAATACATTTGTGTCACTTAGCAACCTCAGCTGTTTCTAAAGGAATGTCTTTTGTTCTTGGAAATCTATTATGAATGCAGATTATAAAACAATTATTGGGGAATCTAAATTTGTCTTATTTGGGTGGTGTTCTGGCTTTTCCCACTTCTGCATTTGATGTGTGCACAGGAAATTAATTTATTCTGCACAAGCATCCTTCATTGACACTATTGTTATGAAGAGAAGCTCTGCATATTTAACAAATATGACAGAAGTTTCTGTAGAAAATAAAAGACATGAGAAATGCCTGAAGAAAGGAAGGACTGGAAAGGACCTCCTAGACATTGGGTTCAAAGCTGTCTTTCTGTTTTGTAAACAACACTATAAATACTTTGCAATTGTGATGCAACACTACATAGTCTCTGTCACGAATTTATCAGACTGATTTATTTCTATACACAATGCCAAAGTCTGAGATCACAGATCACACAGCTCAAGCAGAGGGATTCGAAATGTAAACACCTGCACAGATTAAATATTATTTATAATTTGTACATTGATTGGGTTACAGGGTTTCCATAACGTATTAGAACATATGCATGATCCTGAACACATACATGAAGTGGAAGGACTGAGATTACACTGGATTGCAGACTTCAAAGGATTTAAGGGTTTTCCTTCTTTGTCCTTAATAGGTTTAAAGCTCAGAATTCACATCCAGTTGTCCACATTGTCAGGATCAGTACAAAAGGTAAGATATATAAATTGACCATTATATTCTGAAATAAAAATGTATCCTGAGGAAACACTATAAAATTATATCAAAATTTTATAAATGACCACATAATTAATACAATTAGTACTTGTTTATGAAATTCAGATTTTGTTCTCTGCTAGGGACATCTGGAAGACAATTATTACTAAAAATATCTTAAAGACTGTTTTCTAAACATTTGAATGGATAAAGTGAGAGTGCAAATGAACAATAATCATATAAAGGAACCAACTCTTGTTTGCAACTGTAATGTCTTGCTTAATAGAGTGACTTGGACAAGAAGTTGCCATGAGAATTTTGGCAATCCCAGAAGTGAAAGAGACAGTACACAGAAATTTATCTGGAAAAAAAAGAATAGCAGCAATGCACATTGTCAAATTTCTGCTGAGAAAAGTGCTGCGAGTGGTCAGAAAAAACTTGTCAACAGTTTTGCAACTCTTTTCATACTTTTATTTTTAAAAGAACTTGCCTCTATCCTTAGTGTTTTGGGCTTTGTGTGGTTTTTTGTTTGGTTGGGGTTTTTTTTAATTGCAGTTATTGTGGTAAACTGCTAAAGTAAAAGCAGTGCTGCAGAACTCATCAGCAGCAGTAGAAGACGAAGTATGATAACCAGGCTGTGATTGTCCTGATCTACATGAGAATATCTTGCTACAGCTAACTCAGGACTTGGCCAAATAACCTGATGGTTACAACTGGAGAAGCCCCAGCTTTTTCAGGGCTGACCTGGCAGCCAACCCTGTCACGCTCACAAACTCTGCATCAGAGCACCTATGACAGCCACTTTGTTGCAAAACCCACTGTTGAAGTTCTCATTTCTACAGAGAGGCACTAGCAAGCAGCTACCAGTTCAGAAACTGCTGTAGTGATTTCTGCTGGGAACATCCAATGGTGGCTGCAGTCAGTTTAGACCTGCCCTTGTCATGGAATGGGGTTTAATCACAGAAAGGTCTCTGTGTGCTGACACTCTGAGATCCAGTCCACAGATGCGATTATGATGTAAATTCATACTGAGCCCTTTTTGATGCAGTTTTCCCACATAAGCAAATCTTTGAGAGAGAACTTCAGATCTGACACAGGATATACCGTCTTTTCCCCATTTATGCTTTTCTCTTTCAGTCTTATTGTGAAGAGAGCAGATAGGTTACTAAAGTAGTGGCTGAGATTCCAAATTCCTCTAGGAGAACATGATCTGAAACATCCTTCTTCTGAAGGTCCGCAAATCTACAACATTCACTTTGTTGAGGTGGTAAATCTATTAATCCTGATTAGTAGGATTTGGCGTAACCATTTTCAGCGCGTTTAGTCCTAAAATCCTCAGCAGATACTCAGTCAATTGTCAATCAGTCATCACTAAAATTTTGCATTTAAAAAGATCTGAGGACATCAGGATTCTAATGACTGCACTCTGAGCTCCCTGTCTGTGGCACCGATCTGCTCTATACTGCCAGCTTTTCCCAGCGCTGCTGTTGGTTAGCGATGCAATGAAGCGCAATTTGTGATTATCATTTCTGGGCTCATGAAAGCCCCAGGTGTAGATGTAACCACAAGGAGCACTGAGCTTTTGCTGGTATAGCTTATTTTGCTTTTGTGGGAGAAGAAATGCCTGGAATAAGCTGTAATGGTTTATTGCAGTTTTGCTTGTATAGAATGACAGATTACCTACTTAGAAGTGATCTGAATATAGATCTCCCTTGGAGTTGAAGTAGATCCGTCCATTGCATCTATGCAGGCCTGCTTTTGTTTCACTTGAATAGATACTGCATACCTAAGGAATAAAAGTGTTTTCTTAAAAATATTTTGCTATAGGGCAACAAAATCTCACTTTTTCCTCATCTGCAGAACAATGCAATCTGAGTTTAAATTGGCAGTTACCAAGAAGGTGCTACAAATAAGAAAGTATTAGTACCTTAAATATACATACATGAATAAATATTATGCAATTAAGTAGCATGCTTTATGCCCAGCTCATGTAAATCCAGACTGCAGGTGTAATAATGGACTTGGACACGTAGGCTGGAGAGACCAGTAACATGCTAGTGACAGGCACGTTCACTAACACATGCACATATGCACAGAGTCTCTTGCTTTGTACAGCAAGTGAAAGCAGCTTAGGTGAACATGACAAATGGACCAACGGACATGCCCTCTCCTTTGCCAGCTGCTTACTGATTAATCAAGGGCACAGTGCTGATAGCAGTTATGTGTATGAGTAACTTCCACTTTACCTGGTGCTCCCAGTGGAGCCGACCACATGCCCTGTCACGTGAACGAGTGTGTTCTGGACCATGCCCCCAGAGTTCCGACACCCAGAAAATGTTATTTAAGGCTCATCATAGAAACGTCAGCACCTGCTTGAAGGATATGGTGATGGACTCAAGGAAAGGAACGGGACTAGGATAGGGAGAAGCAGGACAGAGCCTTGGTGCAGGTGATGCGGCTGGTAGAAATCCCTACAGAACGCCCGCACAAAGCTGCCTCACGTCTGCTAATTCTAGTGATGAAAAATAAGACTCCAAAGTAATTTCTATGCCAAGGAATGAATCGCAAAACCAGTGTGCTGCCGGGTGGGGGGACACAGCGGGCATACCAAGCAGGGGGAACGCGACCGTCGAGCGCGAGCCAAGCGGTCAGAGCCGGGCGGTGCGAACGTGCCACGATCTCAACACGGAATCCTGCGGGAGACTACAATGGGCAACGGGAATCACAGCGCCACGTCCCGCTCCCGCAGATGCCGGTGCGGGACGGTCGCACTCCGCAGGGAAGCACCGGCTCCCGATTCCAGGCGCGCGCTGCTCCGGGAGAGCCGCATGCGCGCAACCGCCGGGCGCTCGCGGGGGTACCGGCGCGCGCCCGCACCGGCAATCCGCGGGCCGTTAACGGCGGGAGCGGCACCGGCCGGGCGGGCACGGGGCGGGCATCGGGCGCCACTCGCCCTCCCCGACCCCCCGCGCCGACAGAGCGGTGCGGGACTCCCGCCGGGCGGCCGCCCCGCCCCCCTCCTGCCAATCACCGCGGCCCCGCCCCCGGGACCCGAGGTGCGGGGTTTGAAAGCGGGCCGGTCCACGCGGCGCGCAGACAGGGGGGAGGGGGACAGGACAAGCAGCGGCGTGTTCGGCGGTTGCGGGGCGGCCTCGCCCGACCGGCGGGAGCCGCCCCCGCGCTGTTGGCCGAGCCCTCCCCGCGAGGGGCGCCGGCCCCTAGACCGGCCGGCGAGCGGTTGGTCCAGCGGGCCGCCCTCCCCGCTCCCCCCCCGGCCGGCGCAGTGGGAGGTGCCCGGGCGCGCGCGTCACCCATTGTTTACAAACCAACGCCAGCGGGCCGAGCTCCAGCCGCGACCGCAGCGCCGGAGCCGCGTGTGCTCGCGCGCGCGCGGGGCGGCGGGCGGGCGGCGGCCCCGGTCCCGCTGCGGCGGCTGCGGCACGGCAGGGACCCGGCAGAGATGCCGTGCCGCCCGGGCGAGCGCTTCCTGCTGCTGGAGCGCCCGGTCGCCGTGGGACAGGCAGGCTCCAAGGAGGTGGACGCGCTGGTAGCCAAGCTGGGCGAGGTGCTGCAGCTGAGCGCCCAGCGGGCGCCGCCGCCGCCCCGCGCCCCCAAGCACCTGGGGCCGGGCAGCGCCCGCGACCGCGCCGCCCCCTACTCGCCGCGGTGCTGCAGCGGCGGCGGGGCTGGGCTGCTGGCGCCGCGGGGTCCGGCCCCGCCGCAAGCCCACCCGCAGCACGCCGAGACCCCGCGGCCGGACCGGAGCGGCCACCAGCGGGTGACCAAGCAGCTGTGCGGCCGCGGCTGGCTGCGGAGCGCCGCTCGACGGAGGAAGCAGCCGCCGCCGGGGCCGGGCGACGGTCCGGCGGAGGAGGAGGACCCGCACCGGCTCCTGCAGCAGCTCATCCTCTCCGGCAACCTCATCAAAGAAGCCGTCCGGCGGCTGCAGCTGGCGGCAGCGGCGGCGGCGGCAGCGGCGTCCGCGGCCTCCAGCGGCAGCGCCTCGGCGGGGAGCGGCGGTGCGGACGGCGAGGCGGCGGCGGCGGCGGTGCAGCCCCTGCAGTAGCCGGCGGGGCCGAGCGGCGGTGACCGGGGCGGAAGAGCGCGGCCGCTGGCGGCGGCGGGGCCACGCCAGGCGGGCTGCGGCAGCGCGGTGCGGGCTCTGCCAGGATGTAAGTGTGTCCCGGCGGCGGGGCCCCCCCCGGCGGGGCCGGTGGCGGTGGGGCGGGAAGGGTGTCCGAGCCCCCCCGTCCCAAGGTCACCCGCGGTGCGGACCCCGCCGAGCCCCGCCGCTCGCCCACCGGCGGAGGCCGCGCATGCCGCCGGCCCCGCGCTGTTGTTGTGCCCCCCTCCCTCCTCTGCCTTCCCTGGGAGCTCCTCCTCCTCCTCCCCCCGCCGGGGCAGCCCGGCCGGGGCCGCGAACCCCCCCGCCGCGGGTCCCCGCTGCCGCGGAGCTGCTCCGTCTCCCAGGAGCCATTTGCAATAATCCTCGCTGACTCCGGCGGGAGGTGTTTCCTTTCCCCTCCCGGGCTGGTTTGGTTTTTTTGTTGGGGGTTTTTATTGTTATTTTAACGTTTATTGTTATTATTTCTCGTTGTGACTGTATGAAGCAGTTTTAAAAAAATGTGAATATCAAAGCTGGAAGGCAGCTGGACTTAACAAATGAGTGAATGGAGCCTGAGGATGCATTGTTAGCATAAGGTAGCTGAAACAAGTTTTTTCTACCAAAAAGAAAAATCCTAAATCCACCCTTCCCCGACAAACGCAATGGCTCAAGTACAAGATGCAGCTGTTGATTTTAAATATATGCACTTCGTACCGGAGCGTTTGAAATGTGTTCCTGATTTGCAGGACTTACTGTCTTAATTAACCTGTCTGTATTGAATAAACGTGGTCTTGTTTATATTTTCGGGTCTGTGTCTCATTGTTAAGGTGAAATGAATTCTGGTTCACGAGAACAAAACTGTGGATAATGCTCCAGTAGGCACGTTCCCCCTTGATCTTCTTTCAGTTGTAAGATCTCCATTTTGCAGGCAAAAAAAAAATCCCCACAACAATCCGCATAGTCTGATGCAGTGGGACACCGGTTATTAATGCACGGAGATGCAACTGAGCCCCTTTGTTTGCCAGCAGCGTTCATTCGTAAGCCATGAGACACCCCTTCGAGCAGCCGAGAATGTGGCTGCTGGAATTTATAAGTCAAATCATTCTGAAACCAGAATTAGGGATCTTGTATTGGGGCAGGAACATAGCTTGTGTTGGTTACTTGTTTGGGTTGTCTTTTTTTATTCTTCCTCTGAGGAGGGGGGGTGGGAAGTACTCAAGAAAGGAGAGGTAGGTCTAGGCAGCAATTAAAAATCTGTAAACCAGAATTTGATAATTTGATGGTGGTCATTGTTAAGTTCCAATACCTATTTTGAATGGCTTCCTGGGTAAAATCCTTCCTCGGGTTTTTAGTAGTCATTGAGCTTCAGGATCAGAACTGAACACATCAGACAGACTGGAGCATAACAATCTCCCAACCCCCACTCAATTTGAGGTAAAAGCTCCTTTGAAGAAGGTAGCAATCCCACATGAAAGAAAATGGAAGATGTTTGTCTTTGTCCAAGAGAGCAATTTGAACAGCTACATTTTCTTCTGCGATTAGTTCTTTCATGAATACATTAATTCCACAAAATATTTTAGATTTCTTTCTCTGCCACAGCTACTAATAAAAACTGGTGCTGATGTCTCACTGAATTCCTCATGCAGTAGGACCAGTATGTGATGTTATCATTAGCTTTATCTTGACTAATTTATAAGTATAATGCAGTTCAATGCATTTTAGAATTCCTTAATTGCTAGCATCTGAAGTCTTTTTTCACATAACTTGCACTGCTTTTGTGGCATTTTGCACAACTTGTAAAGGATTCAGATCTGCCATTAATTCTTATCCTTTAACACAATAACATAGTGGGTAGATTGTCCTTCAACTGAATTTTTATTTGAAATTTCCTTGTTTCTTAATCCAGTAAAAAAAGCTCAATAGAAGATACAAAGAAACCTTAGCTTCAGATATAACCACTAGCCACAACTGAAAAACTAGTTATTCTTGTATTTGCCCTTTAGATGCTCAGGGAGGTGGGTATTTGCTGTGCTGGCACTGAATTTGAACCCTGGGATGAATAGTTTAATTACTAAAAGAGCTGAAGGAGACAAGCTAAAAACATAGCACAGCTGATGGAGCCCATGTTGTTACACAACTATGGTTAAAAGTATATGTATGGGGGTCAGCTGAAATTCTGAAAGCTGGCAAGTTTGACTTGAACTTTTTTGCCACTGATAATTATGCATTGATTTTGCATCCCCCTTCCCTCCACCCCTTTCCCCTCCCCAAATCCTGGCCTCTGTATACTAATGAGAACAGCTAACTTTACAAGTGTCCTTTGTAGTCATTGAAAGCCTTGAGACATTCCTTTTAAGGATTTTACTAGAATAACACTTTTCAATAAAGTGGCAGTTGAAGTGAGGCGTAGAAAAGATGCTAATAAATTTCACTGTGACTGGTTGGTTTTTAAGCTTCCTAAATTACTTCTAAAATAGCTTTTACTTTCTCCTTTTTGCAAGGCTGGGAGATGTATATATGAAAAGGGTTATAATAAGCTAAATGTTACGTAGAGCGTGTGATGATTTAGTAAAAGGAATTTTGGCACTTGTTTCAGATAATTTGCATAACTCACTGGCATGTCTTCATCACTTAAAATGTGAACATCCTAAGCTCATGCCAGCAGCCTTTCTCGTCACATCTTCCATATAAGATTTTATCTTCTTCAAAATAGAGCACATCTTTTCTTCATATGGGAAAGGATCGAACGTGGCTAATTTTAGTTTTGGAAGCCACATTTTACAAGATTTTGGACCAACTGAAATATTGCCAGAAGGTTTCCATTGATTCATTGCAAATTCTCTTTTTTTGCCTTGTGCTACACCATGTGGGCATACAAACAGAAAGGAAGTGTGACATAAAAGTCACCATCTACTTTGTTTCCGAAACAGGATGAAAAGTTTCAAATTTTGTAAGCTTCAAATACCTGTAATTCAGAGGTGGGGTTTCTTTATTACATGTAGTCTGTGCTGGTCCTCAGATACCAGTCGTTGGTTTCTATAGAAGAAATTTCTAAAAAAAAAATGCCAGTGTGTTTGGCCTTCCTAGTATGCCTAGGCTGTTTTAATTTGTAAGTGAAAATGTAGTTTACTTTAGCTTTAAATTTGGAAAAAATGATATTTTCCTGATAGGCATTTAGCTAGGTTTTAGCTTTTTTTTTTTTTCCATCTTGTGAAGAAAAAAAATTGTTCAAAACACAAGATTTTGCAGTGGATCACATGACCTGTGGAACCAAAAGTAAGCCATTTAGATTTTTGTAACAAGTGACATTTCAATGCATGGGGGAAGATATTTATTTTCATTATATCTATAGGGGCTATATTTTGAGATCAAACTTGATTTTAAATAATTTTGTAAGCAGATGCACTGAAAACTCACTACCTCATCTTTCGATCCACCTGTTTGTGATGTAGAACTAGCATGGCACAAGGCTGGCTTAGCTTTTTCATTTGTAGTCTATGTTACTGCTTAACTCTTGGGTTTTCTCCATATAACTGGACAAGTCAGTTTTCCTGACTCTTTACTCAAAACGCAGCTTTGCACCCTAGTTATATCTTGCTCTTTGTACTCCCATATTCCCCGAGCTCTTAAAAGTAACTCAATTTATCCAGAACTCTGGCAGATGGAATGATTTTTGTGTGCTATT